AGAGACAAGAAAAAAATAATTGGGGTCAGAACCGAAGGCGGTAACGAATTGACGAAGGCGTAATATTTATGGGACCGGGCGAGGGAATCCGGTGTCTTTCCGGAACTCTTTAACGCTTTAACGCCGCGCTTAGGATTCCGGTCGGCGCTGATTTATTTGCCGACCGCGTCTCATCGTCGTAAAGCAGACGCGTGAGGGACGCGTTAGCAAGATGATCGTAAAACCGACGATGCGGACCGCCTTTTGGGTGGTCTTCAGTTATACGTCTCCGCAGGTCTCGCAGAAATCCGCGGATCGGAATAATAGCGTCGCGTGCGTCGAATGTCGGCCACAAGTGGCGACTTGTGCGTGCATTTCGGCGACTTTAATCTTAACCCTTTATACACACGCGATGATTTTCCGGTGTTTTACTATATACTACACATCGTTCAGATTAATTTTCATTATTTTTCACAAGGAAGAAGTATAAAAAAATTATTAAGTGACTCTTTACATATATTTTAACATCTTTAGAGGATAAAGTTGTATACCTATATAAAAAAATTATACGTAAATGTTATAAATAATTACAGTCGACACGAATAACCCAATCGTGTGTACTAAGGGTTAACAAAGGCTTTTACTAAAAGTTTTTTAAAAGTTAATTTTTCTACGATTAGTTGTGGGCAGGCTACGACAAGAAGTAAAATTCGCATCGATTATAGTAGTACTTATAATGTCACAACCAAAGTGTTATCCAATTATTCTTATACAAATGGATCGATTACTACCCGTTGAATTAGCGCGAGTGTTCGCGGAGCGAAGAAAAGAAACGGGACCGAAGCGAGAATCAAAGTGGTAAAGGCTGTACGCCTTCGTTGCACGTGGGGATAATAGTCGCCCCCTTCCCTCCCTCCTCTTCCCCCCCTTATCCCCCCGGCAAGGAATGCACCGACACAAATCTGCATTCTATGGATGGCACGAATGCCTGCGGCGCGGCGCGTGGTTCCCATATCCCACGGCATCCGGAAACTTTGCAATTAACACGGGGGAGAGCCCGATGCGTGGGAGGCCCGCGCCGTAATGAATTTGGTTTCGACGGTGAGCACCCCTTGCGCGAGATGCATCCGCGCGTGCAAGTAAACGCTCGCGTGAGTGGACCCATCGATTTCGAATCACGATGGGATTTACATAGGGAAGGGTATAGCGTCGATAATATCAATACGATATGTTATCGTCGTGCGAGTTTTATTGCAATCGTAAAAGGTGTCCGCCGCGCAAGATTTATTGTGTTTACTGTGTAAACATTTGGAAAATACTGGAATATGATAGATAGCATTCTCAGCAATGCTCCGACGCATTAATCACTCGTGTATTTGTACACGCGAGCTCCATATAAATAATGACAGCTGCTCTCAGATTGATGGAGGAGTAACGCAATTTTAATGAAAAACAAAAAAAAACTGAACTACTTTTATTAATATTGCACACGTATATTCCATATATCTCTAAAGCCCATTTTCACAATGCATGGTCACCTAATGGTTAAAAATTACCAAGAAGTTTATTGTTTAACGACGTTTGATTAGGACTTAACCAATCAGTTAACTTGATATCAACTTAACTGATGTACACATAACCTTTAGTTTATTTGATTATAAGCTTATGAAAGTGTGTTTTAATTAACTTTCAAGTTTTAGTTAACCTAACTTTTTCGTTAACCGTATATTATGAAAATGGGTGTAAATTAATATTTTCTTTCGTATATTTTACAAGAAAAGCGCTTAATGCAATAAAATTATTTATTTTAAAGGGTTTTTGTGTAGATTAAATATTTTTTTATTATACATAATTAATGGATGATAAAATCTAAATCTGTTGCTTCGAATATTTTTTTTATTGTCTATTCGTAAGCTGCGGAATATGTTAGTTATCTTCTCGAATTTTATTTCCCCGTTTTATCTCTCTCTCTCTCGTACGTATCGCCATTAATTACAACGTGTTGAAACTCGATTTTGCGCGCGGAACTCGGGAGGATGCTCGACCCCACGGGGTTAAGAAATTAGCCATGATGGCGCAGCGCGATGCGGCGTGGCTTATGGAGCGAAATAACGACGAGTAGCTCCCAGAAATGCAAAGCACGGTGGGAATTCGCGTAAGCGCGATCGACTACGAGCCACGAAGTCGTAACCTGCCGTGCCACCGGCTACACGGGACAACTATGCACGTGCGCAACTATGCACGTGTGCGCCGTGCTTGAGAAACAGGGAAAGAGAGCGAGAGAGAGAGAGAAGGGACGGAGGGGGTGGAGGAGCCATCGTTTGGTCCGGCATATCTCTCGGTAGCTAACGCCACTCTGGTCGTTAGCATCTATCTTCTCCGCGTCTCTTATCCTTCTCCTCTGGTGTTTTAATCTGAAATTTACTCCGCTATATGCTCCGTTTCGCGCGGATCTCCGGCTCACTCGAATCTTCATCCCTCTAATTATGAAGTTGGAAGTCGAGATTGAAACCGTGCAATGAAACGAACCTTCAACTCATTAATTTGCAATGAATTTACAATCATTATTTTGAGAATTTTCAGAAATTTTTGAATTTTACAATTTTTTGAAAAAACATGAAAGAAAAATCTTTAAGATTGTCTTGTTGCTTTGAGGTTTTTTTTTTAGTCCACGAGATATATCCTGACAATTCATAAAACGCGGCCGCGATTGCGACATCGGCTGATCGAAGTCGATTGTCCATAAAGAGCAGCGACGCAATTGCGACATATTGTTGAGTTTGAGCCGTAGTTATTATTAAAGAGACTGGATAGAGCGGAGAGTTGGCGAACTTATTATTTCAGCACAACTAACCTGATTTAACCTCGACGGAACGGAATCGCTAATTAGCGCGCGAATTATTATTATTACGAAGCCGCGGATAATCGCGGAACGCGCCGAGATTCGGAATCGCGATCGAGTAGGAATTATTATAACCGTAGATACACACAAGGTGCAAGCAAACACTACGGAATCTTATCAACGCGCTTTAATCACGATGGCTTATCCCTTTAACGAGCATTCCTCGATCGGTATCCCCCGGTTTATCGAGCCTGGAAATCACGTTCGGAACGTGTAGCTGCTGTGTATATATCCGCGATTGCGCATTTTGTACAAAAGTAGCGGGTCGGCTATACTTTCAGTGGGGACGAAAATACTAAGAGAGACACGCGGGAGTCGCAACTGTACACGAAAGCGTGGCTGAATTGCGAAACGAATAAAATATTAATTCCTCGAGACGCGCGTCTCGAGACGGAACAAAGGGGGCGGAGCGAGAAAACAAAATAAATGCCAAGGTAGAATCGGCTATATGGAAAAGTAAAAGGTACTATATGACGCGGAGACGGACGCTAATAACCACGATGGCACTTAACTCATTGTCGAGCGAGAGAAGGAAGCATAAAGGATCAAATTCCGTCCGATAATTTCGTCTTGCTCGGCACGCCGTATACGTTGTTTACGCAAGGAATACAAAGCATAAATGCGATAGATCACTCCGAGCGAGCCGGATTAATTGCTGCAGGCATCGCGAATATAAGTTATTTCATGCCAAGGTACAATGTTGCCCGAAGTCTCAGCGAGCATATTTCAATTCCCGAAATAGTAATCCTAAATGCGACCACACTCGAGGAATTTAATTGTTGCTCCATCAACGCGGCGACGGCGGTACAGAGCAGAGAACTCTCTCGTCGCACAGCCGTCACGAGAGAGTGATTTTCATTCAAACGCTGACTAATTTCAACAAGAGCTGACGAGCGAGCGATCGAAAGGAAAGAGGGGGAGGGCTTGCCAATTTAACGTTCGTTGACGATTCGAGGGGGAGACCTGAGCACAGTTACGAGGTTCAGGCGGCAGCGCTGAAGTAACAAATCCCACCGCGGATGAGCCATTATGCTCAAAGGCAGTGCGCCAGGCATTTCGCCGGCACATTGGCCGCTTTGAATTCAGATTGCAGAGGCCATGCGGCCTCCGAGGTTTTTGTTCTTCCTCTTTCGCAGGCAATTTATGCAATCTGGCCCGCGTCGTGCGCGTATTTATAACCGCCGGCCCTTTGTGTGTTAATTTGTATTCGGGTATATCTTGCGCGAAGAGAAGAAATCGTGAATCTTCTCGATCTTTTTGATCGATCCAATGTACCTTCGCATCTTTGCATCTACATTTTTCCGAAAGAAAATGTGTCAGCAATGCGATTAAGAATATTTCACATGGTTATGTAAATTTAAATTTTAATTTAGAATAATTTTTCAAGTTAATAAATAAGAAAAAATTAAATATTTCTGTAATAAAATATAAAAAACCCATTCATATAATTTCTTTCGTAAAATAAAAATATGATTTTAAAAAATATCAATGTATATCTTTTAAAATAATATTCCAATATATAAGATCTTTATTTCGAACTTAAGAATGCTATTGTTTTTATACAATATTTTGTACATGTTATTAAATAAAACAATAAATGCTAATAAAAATAGAGTCGGATTAATTTCTCCCTTTAATTAGCACCCTGTTATAAAAATTGTTCTAAATGCTACTTCTTTAAAAGGATCAAAAAGACGTGATATGCGTGATATGCGCAGGATAAATAACGGCACCAGGAAAAGATCCACGCCGCGAGTTGGGGCGAATGATCGACTTTGATCTCCGCGGTTTTTATAGAAGCACATCTCCGCGCGTCGGCGAGACTTGAGCTTTCGCGGCTGTCGCGACTCCTCCGCGGAAATCCCATCAGAAATTGGAGCGAGATGCCGCGCCGCCGAGAGACGGGAGGATTTCACGAGAGCGAACGCGCGAGCGCCTCTCCGCGCCGCGTCGCGTCGCGTCGCGTCTCTCTCTCTGCCCGAGAGAGGTGCAACGCACTCGTTCGAATAAAAGTTCCACGAAGAGGAGGCCGCTCGCGCGCTTCGAATTGGCCCCTAATTTCTTCCCCATAACTAAGGAGGCGCACTTTATGACCGGCGGCACCCTTTTTCTGTTGCAGCGCTGAAGGTGAAGCTCATGCTGAGGCGACCCATCAATCAGCTGGTTGCGCAAGGCATCATGCCACGTAAGTGTTGATCCGCTTGTTTATTACACCGTTTATACACATTCTTTTTTCCTCTCCGCGCCGCGGAAAATTGCGCGCCCGTATATACGACTTCGGGGGGGGAGCTGTTAAACTCTCGCCCGATGCTGCTCGCGATGGTTGCGATCAACGTAACTCTCGTGGCGACCGTTATTGAACGTCATTGCCGGCTAGTCCCCGCGGTCTTAAAAACATCTTCGCTCAACACGTGGGATCGTTTGACACACGCACGAGTTAATTATCGCGCCGTTCTCAAGGATACGTAAAAAGTACAGGACCGATATCTAGGGCGCATCTAGATTGTGGTAAATTGCGTCGTAACGATTAAACAAATTGGCAATTACTCGTCGTTTTTGTGAGTTTTAATGCGAAACGAATTAGGTCGCTTCCAAGTCGGTCAATTAATCCGTCAGTAATTAAATCGGTCATTCCATAAAGGACATTTTTTGTCGACTTCCAGAACTCGACAAAAAAATGTTTTAAATGAAGTAGATTTTCTCTCGTCTCCTCCCCAAAAAAATTATGTTTTTTTTTTTAAATTACGTAAATACATATTTTTAAAATTATTTATTTGTATAAAAAGTTAATATACAGGGTGTCCCAGAATTGGCGCATTCGGAGTACAGGGCGTTATACTTTGTGCTAAAAGGAACAACTTTTTCCTTTAGCAAATTTTGATTTGACAAGTAATTGTGGCAGGAGAGCTGGTTAAAGTTAACGAATAATCGCTCTTATCCATGCGGCGCTCAGGGCCGGCGCGCGCTCCTCCATTCACTTGTTCCTAATCCTTGGCTAATATTTACAAATAGTGTCTTAAGATACTAATACGGCTCTGTTATAATTATTTTACGACATTTTAAGAATAGTGTTTAAGACAGCCTTAAATATTAAGAATCAATTATAAATATCTTTTATTGCTTGAAATATAAATCATAAAATAAATATTGATTTAAAAAAATAAAATCAAATAAATATTGATAGATGGTATCACTGAACTTAAATAGTTTACTAATTCTTAAGTAAATCCTCAAGTGCTGGAAAATTGCTTTATTGTGTAACAGTGATTAAAAGTAAAGTAAAATATTTAAGATATTTTTAAGAGCTAATTCTCTCTTTAATTTTTGCAATGAAAAATGCGAAAAACTTGTCATTTTAAGACTGTACTTATTAATACAGTCTTAAGTATAAGACTGTGTATTTCACTATTCCGGTTATTTCCAATATTAATATTATTATTTGTAAATTGGCTTATGTGAGCATTAATAAATTGAGCAAATTCATTAGTACATAAAGATTCTCTTCATTATCAAATCGAATCATATCAGAAGAACTTTATTCGCGGAGTCTTATTGTAATTTTTCTTATTTATTAATTTTACGTATAAGAATCAATTATAAATATCGGGCCTTCTTTCATTGCTATATTTTAATTATAATATTTTATTGCTTAAAATATGAATAGTTAATAAAATAAATATTGATTTGGAGGAAAATCAACTTATGAAAGTGAAAGTAGAAACTTTGCCCTTTAAAATGGCTCTACGAAGATTATTGTATGACTTCTTTTTTACAAAATTATGACAGTTTAAAGATTGACAATTTTTCTGCAAAAATTTAGTGATCTCTTAATTTTGCTCTTGAGAATATCTCTCTACACCACAAACATTTACGAAAACTAATATCTATTTTTATTAACTAATTCATATTTTGAACAATGAAATACGAAAGAAGGCCCAATATCCATAATTGATTCTTATACTTAAAATTAATATTAATAAATAAGAAAAATTACAATAAGGCTTCAGGAATAAATCAATAACAAAAACATGTAAAATGCCTATGTAAGCAGTTGTATGCGTGAATTAATACCACATTTTTACAAGAAGTATAGCATGTATAACTTGCTTAACAGTTTGTACAAACGTTTCGACTCCAAAGATACTTTTATATTAAGAAGAAAGAGTGA